TCTAGCTTTGACCTGGCCCAGCTTTGGTTGGGTCATTTGGGAAGTGAACTGGTGGGTGGAAATTGTCTCTCTCTCTGCCTTTCCTTCTGTCACTCTATTTCACAAGCAACCGCAGTTTTTTCTTTAAAAAAGGGAATATGTGTTAATAAGTGCTAACACTTGTCAAAGACAAATGTTATATGCATAAAAATGGAAAGACTGCCCAAGATTCATGACTTCACAGCACACCTGGAGGTACAGACCATTCCAACATGCGGGACATGGTCCAGCTGCTCTGGACATGTCCCCAGGGCACTCCCTGACTCCCCACACCCGAATCCTTACTCCAGGGAAACTGCTGTCTACCCTGGGTTCAAACTCTCTTGTTTTCAGGCATTTGTACATCACCCATATGCAGGTGCACTGGTTTGGCATGGCTGTGGATGTCACATCCCTGTTTACTATGTCACCTGTGTGCAGGTGCACTGGTTTGGCATGGCTGTGGATGTCACATCCCTGTTTACTACATGTGTGCAGGTGCACTGGTTTGGCATGGCTGTGGACGTCACATCCCTGTTTACTACATGTGTGCAGGTGCACTGGTTTGGCATGGCTGTGGATGTCACATCCCTGTTTACTACATGTGTGCAGGTGCACTGGTTTGGCATGGCTGTGGACTTCACATCCCTGTTTAGCATGTTTATGTCTTTGCCCATCACATGCTGTCGAGATTCACCCAGCTAACATGTTAGAATATATTTTTATATATCCAATTTCTGGTAGAGGGACATTTAAGTCATTTCTAGTGCTTTGCTTTGTTTTGTATTTTCTGTTATAAACAATGCTATATGAAAAAAAAAGCCAAAACCAAAACTTGATCATGACCTGTGATGTGTACTAGGGTCCAGGGACACAATATTTGCTGGTGCATTTTACTCAGTATAGCCCCAAAGCAGTTTGCCCAAAGCAGTTTCTTTGGGTGCCAGAGGAAGGGCTTTTGAGGGTCAGCAGAGGCTTAGAGATGGGGGCTCCAGGTGTTGGCGAGTTGGCCAGCCTGAGGATTAACCTTGGGCACCAGCTTGTGGTAAATATGGTAGGCACACTTGGTTGCTTATCTCCAAGCGGGGCCTGTGAAGTTGGAAACACGGCTGTTAGAGACCAGGGACGTCTGTGAGTGTGCCAGAGTCCAGGAAGATCAAGGGCATCTCGGTCAGCATAGAGACTTGACACCTTGGCCAGAGCACGGGGTTTGGGAGGCTTCTCGTCTCTGTGTTCTCTGGCAGCAGAAGCCAAGTGAGTCAACACTGAACGTGGAGCGGCCGAGTCCTGGTGGGACTGCCCCCTGCCTGTTCTCTCCCTTCCTTCTTATCACCAGTGCTTTGTTCCCTTCTTGTTCATGTTTGGTTGGGTCACAGAGGAGGAGTTGGACATTCGAAGTGTGAAGTCATACAAGAAAGACCTTCACTCCTGCTACTGACTCCCACCTGCACCACCCTGGTATAAAGGGGTTCCATTTTTTTAAAAAAAAGATTTATTTTATTTTTATTTGAAATGCAGGGCTATGGAGAGAAGCAGAGGCAGAGAGAAAGAGACCTTCCAGTCACAGGTTCACTTCAAAGATGACTGCAATGGCCAGAACTGAGCTGATTGAAAGTTGGGAGCCACTGGGAGCCAGGATCCTTCTGTGGGTTTTGTACATGAGTGTAGGGGCCCAAGCAGTAGAGGCACGCTCCATCACTTTCCCAGGCCACGAACAGGGAGATGGATTGGAAGTGGAGCAGCTGGGACTTGAACCGGCATCCATATGGGATGCTGGTACCAAAGATGGGAAGCTTAGCCTACTATGCCTTGGCACCAGCTACATGAAGGGGCCTTTAATGAATGTCTTATCTCCCTACTTTCTACTAGAGTTTTCCTCTTGTAAAACCAAAAATCGAGTATTATGTAAGCCTCCTACTATTTTGAAAATGTATTTTGTTACATTATTTACGTAGGGGACAGAGAGAGATGACATCCACCTGTCTGGTCCCCCAAAGGCCTGGGAGCTGGGAGCTCAGGCCAGGTTTCCCTCGTGGGTGGTAGGATCCTCAGTACTTGAGTCATCAACTGCTCCTCCCAGGATGTGGCTTTGCAAGAGACTGGACTTGGGAATAGTTGAGATCCAGACCCAACTAGGGGAACTGACTTCCGGCTTTGGGACAGGGACAAGCAGGGTGCTGAGGGCAGGACCTCAGGGCTGGTCAGGATCAGGGAAGGCCACCTGGGGGATATGCTGTGTCAGCTGTGACCAACAGCCAAGGGGGACTCTGCCGTATCTGGCCCAGGTTTCTGGCCAAGGTGCTCTCACCAGGCAGGCAGGGAGGTGAGAGAGGCTCTGAGCAACTGGGAGGCAGTGGTTCTTTCAGCACCCAGGGACAGCAGGAACCCCTGTTGGGACTACAAGGAAGATGTTGTTTTCACGGTGTGCTGTGTGGGTGAGGGGCTGGGCAGCTGTGGCGAGACAGGAAGTGCCCTGGACCAGGTGTGGGAAGGAAGCGACCAGGACGGGCTGCCTGTGGGGAGGGGCTCTGTCCTCTCCTCCAGGAAACTGGCTGATGGCCCACTCCGTGGGCACCCCGGAGTAGGCAGGCAGGCTTCTATCCCACCTCCACTCTTGAGTGCTCCCCTGGGCTAATGCCTGGCTTTTCAGTGCTCCCCATACCAGCCTGGGCATCGGCCTCTTCCTCACATGCAGCCCCGACATGCGTACACCACAGACTACACACCATCCACATTATATAACACACATTAATCACCACATACCACACATATATACACCATCCACATTATACACTACCCAAACACATTATACATCACACACAACATATACCACATACCACACACATCACACACATACAGAACACATACAACACACAGCACATATCACACTATGCATATTATACACCATACACACCACATATGTACACTACACATACATTCTACCACATACATACCACACATTTTTGTCATATACCACACACATTATATACTATACCACACACGTTATATGTTACATATGACACACCACACAGACCACATATACTTCATACCACAGACGCACATACACAATGCAGCATTGGCTGCAGTCCTTATGTGAGCTCTGCTTGCTGTCCAGCCTCAGGCCCTCCCCTCGTGTTAGGGGCGGCTGGGCCTCTGCCTCACTGTGGCCATCACCGCCAGCCAGGCTCTCTGCACTCCTACACCCTGTACTGGGCACAAGGCCGCAGGCATGGCTATGAGGTCAAGGTGGGACAGGGGCCAGAACAATGGGCCTCTCCCCAAAACCTCCAGGCTGTTCCAACCTTCAGGTGGCGAAGATGTGGCTCTGCTTGTTCAAAGACCCAGGGGCAGGTGCTGCCCCCAGCCTGGCCTTCTCTCTCTGCTGGTCCCTTGCCCACTGGGGAGGTACTGAAGCCAGCCTGTGACTCAAGTGCAGAGCAAGGGCTGTGGGAGCCATGGCAGGGGGCTCAGGGTGGACCCCATTGCTGACTCAGCTTGTGCTGCCCCGCAGACTTGCCACTGAGCCTGTCTGTCCCCTGCCTGTGCTGGGACAGGTCCCTGAGTTCCACAGGTGTGTTGGGCACATTCTGTCCAGGTTATGTGGATTGGGCAGAACCTGTGGTTGGTGGTGCTGGTTCTTGCAAGTGCAGAATATTTTTTCCTGACTGCTGTAGGCAGTGGACATCCAGGGGGCTTAGCCAGGAGGCCTTACCCTCTGAGAACCTTGCTTGTCCAGGACAACTTCTAGGGCAGGGCTTGCTCTTGGGCCCTGCCTCTATTCCCAGCTCTGGGTCCTCTGGCTCCAAAGATGTACCTGGAGGAGGTGGACTGGGTGGGGAACAACCCTGGCCTTTGGGGATCCCCTTCTCCCCTAACCCAGTTCTGGGTGTCTTGAGACTCTTCATCATTTTTAAGTCAGGGACTTAACATTTCAGACTCATGGAGCCCTGCAAATAATGTGGCTGATCCGAGTTTACTGTCTGCTCTTTCGTGTGCTTTGCTTTGTGAACTGTTGCAATAGGTGGTTTTTTAAACTTAGAAACGAAATGTGGTGATCCTTGTCACTCCCAGGAGATGCTTGTAAGTGTGGACAGACTCCAGCCTCATGCAAGCAGAGACTGTATCTTTTGCTACGCACACATGTCTGCCAGAGAGTTTAATTCGTAAATTAGGCCTATGTGGAGAGCGGAGCCGCGCCTCAAAGATGGTGCTTGTTGACCATTGCTTCATGGCACAAAGGTGGTAAACAGGTTTTGGGAAGTTACTAAGGATTGGGCCGAGCATGTAGGGAAGCTACATGACCTAAGTCATGATTGGTGTGCTTATTACATGATGTGAGGAACTGTGTATGGATTGGTTTGTGTAATGTAAAAAGGTCTGGGTGAAAAATAGTTAATGAGGAGATTCTCCCAGGCGCGCTTCAAGGCTATGCTAGAGCTAGAGCTATCGCTATCACTTCAAGGCTATTGCTAGCTAGCACTAGGCTGCTTTGCTTTACTGTAATAAATCTTACAAGTGCTGTAACTGCTTTCACTTTGACAACGCTAAAAGTCTTGACCAATAAACTTTTTTAAAGAATCTTTACTGTATCGGGGTCTTACTTGCGGGACGAGGGACCCCGATAGGCCCAGAAAGGGATAAAAAGCAAGAGTTAAATATAAAATGGAACAATCACAGAAAGTTGCTGTCATCAACTTCATAAGTGTGGCCCTTCTCCTGGTCCCTTTGTAATGCTGTCAGACGGTTGGTGCATGTAGGGCTGAGGCATTGGGACAGTGTCAGGCTATCATGTAAGGGTGGCTCATACTGCCTAGATGCTCCAACTGGCAATGGAGAGCCATCCTGTGTGGCTAATGGGCAGGTGGTGCATACAACGTGGATCCGCTGGACACAAGAAGACACATTCCCAGGTGCGAACGCAGCATGATAGGGCAAGATGGTGTCATGTCATTGAGGACAATGCCCAGGTGAAAAGTGCTGACTCATTTATTTCTGGAGTTTTCCATCTATTGGGTTGCTCAGTGTGCAAGGAAGGCTGCAGAAAGTGAAGCAGCACCTGCAGTCACCACGCTGAGAACAAAGGGACAAGAGGATGATGAGCTGTGCGCATGAACATTCTCAGCCGTGACACATCTGACTCCCAGGGTAGCCTGGGTGACCTACAGAACATCACCCCCACCATGAGGACACCCATTGCTTCTGGGACTCCAACATGTGCTTCTGCCAAGCCTGACTCTGTGGGGGCTCCCCGCTGATATCCTGGATGAGCCCTTTCGCTCTGTGGGGGAGAAGGGACTCCAGGACTCCTGCTGCCTCCCCCACTTCTCTGGTGTCAGGTGACACGTGGTGATGCTGACCTCACTAGCTCAGCATGGGGGCTCCAAGGAGGCAACTTCGGTGGGGACATGGACTTGGCCTGAGGCTAGAGTTTGTCTCCTTCACTGCAGTTCTTGTCCCTTTCTTACTAAGCGTGAGGACCTGGGGACTCTGGCTCCACAAACTCTATAACGCTGAGCTTGTCCAGAGCTGGAAAACAGCTCTCAGCAGCCTAGGTGGAAGGCATCCCTGCTGCTCAACCCCAGCATGGAGGGACACTGCTGCCCTCTTGTGGACGACTGGCAGAGCACCAAGGGGACGTCTTGCGGGGCCGGGTTCCCAATAGGTAGCCCTCCTGGACCACTTTGTGTCTCAAACATCACCTTACCCCCTACCTCCTGGTCTCTTTGTCCTATCACACCATTGTTCATTTTTTCAAAACACCTGTTTAAACCCTGTGCCTGTCCCCCTCATCAGGTGTTTGGTTTGTCCCTGGATCCTAGTGTATTGCACATGGTAGGTTCAGGAACACAGGTTGAAGAAGTGAGAGTGGTTATTAGGGATGGCTGAGACTTAGTGCAGCCCCTCTGGTGTAGGCAGGTCACGCACCACCCCCACTCACAGATGAGCAAGCTGAGACTTCAGAGATGTATGTAGGTGGCTTAAGCACCCAATCAGGCCCCTGTGTGCCTGGTGGCCTTTCCAGGTCCCCTACATTCCCCTGTGGAAGGGGCAGGGGACTGGGGAGGGGTCTCAGGCTTCCCTGCTGGGGAATTTGGGGTACACAGTCTCACAACCTCTTCTAGTGGCTGAAGGTTGCTGAGCTGCATCGTCCTGTGTACTAGTGGCTTTGGGATGGGCGCAGGAGGAGCCAGGAGGGCAGGCTGACGGGGTCGCAGGACCTAAAGGTCATTGGTCTCTCTGCCCAGATGTGCCTTCTGGCAGGAGAGTCGGGGCCACCAAGGATGTCCATATCTTCTCTAGGGTTTGCAGTTTGACCATGATTCTCAGGGGGCAGCCCTCCGCTGCCTTCGCTCAGCCAGGGGAGACGCTGCCCGCTGGTTCTGGGCCCAGAGTCTGCAGTTGAAGGCCAGGTCCAGGGCCGCTGTGGAGTCAGCAGCATCTTCTCTGGGCCTGGTGTGGTGACAGCTTAATGGAGTCTGTGAGATGGCTCTCCAGGATGCCGCGGTACTGGGGGAGGAGAACTGGTCAGCCATCGTGTCCACATGCCCCCTTGTGAAGTCACTGGTGCTTCCACCCCCACCTCACCCCCTCCCTCTTCTTCCCAGGAGCCCAGGAGGTTGGGTGTTTGCATTAGGAACCTGGTCTCTGCCTGGGGCCCTTTCTGCTCTCCAGAAGGACTGTAAAGGGACACTGGCTTGGGCAGATGATGACTCTGGGCTTCTTTAAGAGCCAGCTCCCTCCTAACATTGTAGCACTTTGTGCCCAATGACCTTGACTTCCTGCCTTCTGTCCTTCCCCCAGGAAGCCCACCAGGAGCCCATTCTGGGGCTCAGGGTCTGGGGAGGGGGTGATGGAAGCAGGGGGCCTTTACCCATGGGATGGACCCCCTGGCACCCAGCCAAAGTCTTGTATGGCTCTCGATGCAGGAGTGCACTGCATGGGCTTCTGGCTAGGGCAGGAACCAGTAAACCCCACGGCCCTCTGTGTACTAGTGGCCCTGCCGTGGTAGTAATGATGCAAGTAGGGTTGAGCTTCCTGCACACCACGTCAAGCAGATCTGTTTGGGGTAATCTGGATTGTGTCTTCTGATTTTTATCTGCTTTGTGGCTCCTGGGCATATTCTGGGCACACACTGGACTGCCAACTAGACCCCTGAATTCCTGGGGTCTGGGACCATGGAAATGTCAGGTTCCTCTGCTACATCCATTTTGACAGCTCCCCAAGATGCCCAAGAGAGTCCCTAATTTCTCTGTCATTCATGCCACCTGTGACTCAGCAGTCATTGACCCTGAGGGCCCAGGGACAGTCCTTTCTCAAAGCATCTGGTCTTTGGACAGCCTCCATCTGAGTCTGCCCCTTGCAGAGCACAGGCTGTCCCTGGTCAGCCTGGAGGGTGGGCCTGGCTGCCCCTTAGATGATCCTCCCATGTTATCAGAATTTTGAATTAAGCTGCACAGACTGGGGTCAGCATGTGGTGCAGCACATTAAGCTGCTGTTTACAATGCCAGCATCCCATATCAGAGTTCCAGTTCCATTCCCGGCTGCTCCACTTCCAATCCAGCCTCCTGCTCATGCAGGAGAAGGCAGAAGAAGATGGCCCAAATGCTCAGGTCTCTGCTGCCTACATGGGAGACTCGGATGGAGTTCCTGGCTCCTGGAGTTGGTGTGGCTGAGAGTTGGAAACTGTGACCATTTGGGGGAGTGAACCAACAGATTTCTCTGTCTTTTTCTCCACCTTCCGCCCCCACAAAGCTCTTTTCCTCTGCCCTTAAAATGAATCTGTCAATCTTTAAAAGAAAAGAAATGTACAGTCAGGTATGGCCAACAGTCTTTTGGTTAACAAGGAACCATATGATTGCAATGTCAATGACATCACAGCTGTATCAGTTGTGTAAGGACATCACAAGGTTTGTGGTCTGATAGGGTTGCCTAAGGACTCTGCCTAAGATATGTTCTAGAACAAATCTATTGTTGCGATACATAACATCTGTATCTTATTTAGAATTTCTTTTGAAAAATTATCTATTTGCAAGGGAGAGAGAGTGAGGGCTCCCACCCACTGAGTCAGTCTCCAAAGGCCTGCACAAGCTGGGCCGAAGCCAGGAGCGCGGAATTCCTTCCAGCTCTCCACGTTGGTGGCACAGTCCTGACTACCTGGGTCATCCTCTCTGATTCCCAGCATCTGCTGAGCAGGAAGCTGGCGTCTGAGTCTGCAGCCAGCTACCAGAGCCAGGCGCCCCACTGCAGACGGGATGTCTTAGCAGCCCAAATGCCAGCCCTGTGTGTGCTTTAACAGGGAGGCTGTGTGCTGGGGCACGGAGCAGCAGGCACTCTGCGAACAAAGTTACATCCTCTGGATGCTCTGGGAGAAATGTCCACAGCTTGGCTTTCTGCCCTCCTCAGTGGGGAGGATCCAGCCTCGAGTGTGGGCTCTGGCCCACGTGGTCCCAAATGCCATCCAGTTCTCCCTACTGCAGCTGATGGGGCCCCTCGTGGCACTGAGCTAATTTTAGCTAAAATTCCAATGTTTCTGAACCTCCAGGTAAGGGACAAGGGACAAAAGAGTGTCACTAAGGCCCTGGTTCCAGTTAATCCCCAGCATGGATACCAACATTGTCAGTTTGCTGCTCAGATTTCTTTCCTGGGAAACTGAAGCAGCTGCAAGCCACACATTGGTTTCCTGTGTCATCCTTTGCTCCAGACTCCTGGGGCTGCTTGTTCAGGTCTTGGGGGTCGGGGGAAGGTCTGACTCTGCCAAGCTTCCATGAGGCTGTGACTGTGGGAGCCTGGCCCCACCTCCAGGGCTGGGCACCTCAGTGGCTTTCCTTTAGTCCTGCCCACGACTGGCCTCATGAGGGCGCAGTAACTTCACGGAGCACCTGCAAGGGAACCTGCCATTGCCCTCTTGTCCTTTTCCAGCTAATGCGAGAGGAGCTGAGCTCCTGTGCGACATGTCACACCACTGGAACCTGGTGACAGTCCCGGAAGGGGTGGCCTTGTTAACTTGGGAAGAACAGATGGGGGGGGGTCTCTCCTTTTTTTATTAGGCGAGGGTAGGCGTTTGGCACAATGGATACAACCACATCAGGGTGACTGGGTTGAAATCCCAGATTTCCACTTCCTGCCAATGTACACCCAGGGTTGGGGGGTTGGGAAGTGACAGCTGAACTACTTGGACCCTGCCACCATGTACAAGATCCAAGCCCTGACTGTTACAGGTATTTGGGGAATGACCAGGGGATGGGTGATGACTCTCTGTTTGTCTAATTATCAAATAAAATGAAATTAATTGTTGCACATCCTGCATCATTTCTGACAAAGTAGTCCACCATAGGCATCTGGTCACAGTCCCAGGACCTCTGGTCTTACCCTTCTCTCTGCCCCCTGGGACTCTGCATTCAGCAATCCCCGCACTGTACTGCCTGTGTCGGGGGAGCTTTAAGCACCCATCACCCTGCAAGGTCATTCCTGCCAGGTATACCCCCGTGTGATGGGAGCCAGCTTCCTGGACCTTGTGATAAAGCCACACTTGACCATATGTAGAGAGCCATGTTCTGCACTGCTTCCAGCTGATTGCAGGCAGGGAGGGAGGCACAAGCCTTGGCCATGGTCTGCCATCCACCTCTGTCACCATGCGCAGTGCTTCTGTCCTGTGTCACCATCCACGATGACAACAGGTGCTGCCATTTTGGGGTGGGGCAGGGGAACCTCCAATCCCAACCCTCGGTGTTCATTTCCTTTCTTCAAAATCCTTGTTAGCACCCTCTCTCCCTGCTTCTGAGGATCCCAGTCAGATTGAGTGCAGCAGGACAGCGGAACAAGCCCCGCCCCAGGCCAATCTTTCAAGTCTTCCTCTGAGCCTCCTAAACCATCAGCACTGAAACCCTGCTCCCGCTCCCACTCCTGCTCCTGCTTCCGGCCCCACCCTGAGCTCTCCCCTCACTGCCACCCTTCCCCTGTCACAGGCAGCTGGGTGGGTGCCTATCCCCAGGACCCTGGCACCAGCTCCTGTCCCAGGGTTGCAGTCACTCCCACAGCTACTCTCTCCAGGGCTTGGCACAGCTGATGGCCTCAGCAAGTGCTTGTCTGTGCTGATTCATGGTTGGGTTTGGAGGGTGTCAGTGACCCCATGGCTTTGCTATCCTGCCAAGACTAAGGCTTGGTGCCACTGGGCTTTTCTGCCACTAGAAAGGACTGGATCAGATCAGTGGTCTTCAAATCCTGACTAAATTGGAGTCTCCGGGGTAGGGAGCTGGAGGGAAGGTTTTAAGGTAGCAGAGGAACCACCAGCTGTAATGCCCTAGTAGTCACCTCGCTCTGAACCCCTGGGGTTCCAGAAGTGGAGTTGTGCTGAATCCCTTCAGCAGCTGGTTAACCAAGGCATGAGCATTCCTACCTGCGCCAGCACGCTCTCCTCTGCAGGTTCCTGCCAGCCCCAGCCTGGGGGCCAGCCCCAGCAGGTGCTCCCACCATGCCTACTCACCCTCGCCAGTGCCCGACTGGCCAGCATCTCAAAGGCTTGCACCACATTGATGTCGCTTTTGGCACTGACTTCGAAATAGGGAATGTCTTTCTCTTGACACCAGCCTTGGGCTAATTCCTGGGGCACCTGAATGAGGAGTAAAAATGGTCACTGTGTGTGTCTTCACCATGATTGTTACCATCAGTCACATCACTGCCTCCCATCATCTTAACCTCCACTTTCAGACCATCCCACCTTCGCTGCCACTGTAGCACCTGCAGCCCACACCTCAGCTGTCATTTTCCTCCCATGGCACAGTGTCCAGGTCTGTCCTGGTGCCCAGTTATCACAAATATTGTATCTCATGTCCCTCTCTTCCCATTTGATTTTATGGAAGGACGGAATGCAAACTCTGAGACACCAGGGTCTGGCATGATGACTCAATTGGCTAATCCCCACTTTGCATGTGCTGGGATCCCATATGCGCACTAGTTCATGTCCTGGTTGCTCCATTTCCCATCCAGCTCCCTGCCTGTGGCCTGAGAAAGCAGTGAAGGATGGCCCAAAGCTTTGGGATCCTACACATGCATGGGAGACCCAGAAGAAGCTCCTAGCTCCTGGCTTTGGATTGGCTCAACTCTGCCATTGTGGCCATTTGGGGAGTGAGCCAGAGGACGAAAGATCTTTCTCTCTGCAAATCTGCCTTGCCAGTAATAATAAATAGATCTTAAAAAAAAAACCCAACAAACGCTGAGACATCAATTCAGATTATGTCACACAATAATCCTTTCTTCCTGATCCCTGGGCCACCCTCACAATGCTGACCTGAGAGAAAGCCCTGCCTTTTCCCTTCCGGTGTGAACTACAGTCAGGATTTTCACACTTGCTTTGTCTTTAATTATGAAGTCAAAATTATTTATCACTTAGGCTCTGGTCCTGGAAATAGACTTGAGGTGTGGACTTGAGGACATGGGAATTGTCAACGGTTCGGAAGTGTTACTCCCAGTAATTTCCTTTTTGGACCACAATAACCATTGACATTCTGGTCTGTGATGGTTCTGCTCATTGGAGCCAAAATGTTTGGAAAAAATTAGTTCAGCTTGCACAATTTTATTTATAATGTTTCCCCACTTCTTTGCATCTGGAGTGATTAATTATATGTGTTAAAATTAGAATGCCAGGGTCTGGCACGACGGCTCAATGGCTAAATCCTTGTCTTATAAGCATCAATATCCCATGTGGGTACCGGTTTGTATCTTGGTTGCTTCACTTCCCATCCAGCTCCCTGCTTGTGGCCTGGGGTAGTCAAGGACAGCCCAAAGCCTTGGGACCCTGCACCGCAGTTAGAGACCTAGAAGAAACTCCTCGCTCTGGATCAGTCAGTTCTGATCACTGAAGCCATTTGGGGAGTAAACCAGTGGATAGAAGAACTTTCTGTTTGTCTCTCCTTCTCTCAGTAATTCTGATCTGCCTTTCCAATAAAAATAAATAACTTTTCAGAAAACTTGTAAAAAAAGTTAGTATGTCATATATTAATAGGTCAACTGTTACCAAAAATATCAAGAATATTTTTAAAAAGCATGATTCTAATTCTGCATGTCAGTGGTAGGCCAGAAATGATCTGTTTGAGCATACAGCAAAACATCCACATTTCTGTGAATAAACTTCTTGTGGTATAGATGCTAACAAAGTTGTTCCTTACAATAAAAGTGACTTTTTAAAACTACTACCTTTTTATAGAAGGAGTAGAGCTGTTTTTTCTTTTAAAGCTAGGTCGGTGATCTCTTTAAATTTCTTCTTAAGCTTATTTCAAAGACAGACCGTGTGCGTGAGAGAAGAGATGGAGAGAGAGCTGGGGGAGAGAGATGGAGGGAGATCCTCCACCTGCTGGTTCATTCCACAAACAGCAGCAGCAGCAGTCTGGGCTAAGTTGAAGCCAGAAGCCCAGAGCTCCATCTCGATCTCTCATGTGAGAGCAGGTGCCCAATGAGCTGAGCCATCTTTCACTGCTTTTTCAGATGCATTTTAGCAGAGAGCTGGATGGGATGTGAACTTGAACTGGTGCTCCCAAGTATACCAGCATAGCACACTATAGTTTAACCTGATGAACCACAATGTGGGGCCGAAGTCAGTAATGTTTTTTAAAATCACTCTGAGTACGTGTGAGTGTGTGTGTGTACCTGTGTGTGTACAGTGTAATAAAATACACAGCAGTGTAGTTTGGTGTTTTCATCTCAGTGTACCGTTCAGGGCACCAAGGACCAGCACGCCATGGTACAGCCGTCACTGCTGCTCCTCAACTTTTTCACTTTTCAATTTCTTAATTTTGTCATTTTTTCAATATTTAATTTATTGTTAAGCAGCCAAAGCCACCTCGTGTCACCAGTTTGTCCTATGGAGACATCAGGGGGAGGGCAAGAGTTGCACCATTTCCTTTACTTGGCAATTGCAGAAAATTCATGCTCTAGTTTCTGTGCCTGAAAGAAGTTGGCATGGGCCTGAGGATGTATGTGAAACAAGGATGGGGCATGGGCTGAGTTGGGTGCTGTGGTATGAGCTGTATGAGCTATAGAGAGGGCACCTTCAGGACTCACCCACTGGGAGCCAGTCCCCCGAGAGTGACCCCTGGGACCCTGCTAGGTCTCTGCCACAGCAAGGGCACCCTGGCTTTACAATGAGGTCCCTGCATGTAAGTGCCCTGCTCTCCTCCACCTTCTTTTCTCTACTCCCTGATGGTTCCAAGTTTCCTCACCTCCACTCCTCCTTCTTCATTCCCCTGGGACCCTTCCCTGCACCTCTTCCCCCACCCTGTCCTCCCGGACCCTCCCTTGCCTGACCGCCTATCCCCACCAGCTTCTTCCAAACCTTGGTCCTTCCTCTTGCTATATAAGCCAAGTCTTCTCCTCCCCACTGCCTGGGAATATGACCTGGATCCTTCTGTCCCTGGGAGCTGCCACTGGCACCTCACCTGCCCGGTGCCTCTTTCACTGCACCCCTGCCATCTGATGGGACTTCCTGTGCTCTCGGTGCCAGCCACTACTTCTCACAACTCACTGACAGCATCCCCACCTCAGCCTCTCCCTCCTCAGGCCACACCAGGGCCTCTGCACACTGCTAAACCCACTCTCCTCTGTGCAATCGCTTCCTATTCCCTAGCCTCGTCTCATCCCCTACTCCTGTGCTTTCCCAAGGCCCTCATGGCTGCTCTTGCCTGGAAAAAAACAAAGCCTCAGGTCCCTTGTTTCTGGCTTTTTCCCAGGTAGGGCTGTGCAGGGAGAACATTCCGCAGACCCACATCAAGTTCACAGTCTCTTCTATCAGCTGGCAGCATCAAATCTTCCTCCTTGATTGGCGGCTGCTCCCTGATCAGCTGGCCAGACTGCCCATTGTTTGCAACTCTCAGCTTCTCATTAACTTCGAACCACCTACCCCACGAGTGGCAGAAACAGGACAGGACGGCAGACTGGAAACTTGTCTGCTATAAAGCTGGTTGGGCCCCAGAATGCCCTGGGACCATGCGTGTTTCCAAAGATCATAACCAAGAACTTCTTAGGTGACTCTAAAATCCCCACAAGGGGGTCAGGAGAAATCTCTTGGGACAGGATTGTCCTTGAAGTCAGATTCCTCTGTTTCTCACTGCCCCCACACTGCCTAGCGAGGGAATAGGCTTGTCTCAAGTCCAAAGGAAGCTTCTAGAAACCTCCAGGAAGATCATTAGCCTATAATCCCTGAGGTTTGGTGGGCTGGTGTCTGACATATCCCTGAGCAATCCAAGGCTAAGGCTATGGGACAGAGAGGAATATAGCCAGCGTACATGAGTGTGCCAGGGCAAGGAGGTGTGGGCTGGGGCTCATGTAAACCCAGAGACTGCTTGAAGGAGGTGTGACCCCCACTAAGTGGAGGAGCAGCTGAAAAGTTAAGGGTTGAGGAGGGGGAAGAGGAGAACACAAGAACCTCATCAAGGGAGGGCACCACCCGGCTCTCCTCACCTCCCCTTCCTCTGCTCTGAACAGCTTCTTGAAGATAAGGGTGTGTGTGGTGTGTGTTGATCAGGTGGCAATACAGTCAAAGGCAGCCAGCTCCCCTTGCTGGAACACAGGGGTCTCACCAGTAACTGCCCCATGGGGAAAGGAAAAAGCCACACGTCGCCTTTGAATGGACTTAGGACTGGGCTTGCTAGCCGGGCCTGGGTATTAGTAATGAGCGAAGGGAACTGAGTTTCCAGTGAAAGGGACCCTGGAGCTCCTGGTGCTCCATTCCCACAGCTGCTGGGGATCTCAAGCTGCCTGCAGGTGCAGAACGAGCTCCTGGGCTCAGCATGTCCCAGTCAAACATGGTGCCTCTAGGAGCAGCCTGCTCTCCCCTTTGTAGGTGGCAGCTCAGTGGGCAGCACTGTTTATGCCCTGTCCTCCCATCCCAGCCCCTTCCATCCAACCACTTGTTCCACAATGCCCAAGGACACCTCAGTTCTCCTACTGCGTTTCTCGATTTGAACCATCTTGCAAACAGAGTCCAAACACCATGGTTCAGTTCCCCATTGCTTTTTTCTATTTGAGACATTGACAAAAAAAAAAAAAAAAGTAAGCGATTTTTTGATGCCACATGGCTTCTTTGGCATGAGAGCATCTTTCATAAATTAAGTCTACCTCTTCCCTTTCCTATTGGCAGGTGATGATTAGAAGAGCCAGCTTCTCGGTGGCAAGCATTTTCACTGCCAGCTCCCTTCCACCAGGAAGCAGACTGGCTGTCCAGGGGTTAGCCCCATGGTGCAGAGCATGCGCGAGCTGTTTAGGTGAATACTTTCCCATTAAGCATGTAGGCCCAGAAATTATATATTTTCTTATTTAAGAGACAGAGAGTTCTCTTTTGATAGTTCACTCCTGCCAAATGCTCACAGAAATAGGGGATTAATATGACTCTCATGTGGGCAGCAGGAGGCCAACCGCTTGACCCATTGCTGGTGCCTCCTGGAGTCCGCAGTAGGAGGAAGCTGTGGTCAGGAGCTAGAGCTGGGAATCAAACTCAGCCACTCTGATGTAGGACACAGGTGTCTTAGTGACCACTGGGCTAAAAGCCTGCCCCGTCCATAAATTCTGCAGTCCCTCTCACTCCCCTCAGCAGACACACTGTCCTACAGATTAGCTCTGGTTCCAGTGAGACCTAGTCCCTACCTGCAACTGAAACCTGAACTCCTCTACTCCTAGAGGAGACTTGTTCCCAGCTCTTGGTCCACATCACGTTGGAACCCACCTCTTCCAGGAAGCCTGTCCAGTGTTCTGGGTGTGGGTGGAGGTCCCTCCACTGCAATTCCCAAATCTCCAGGATAGTTCTCTCTCACTGCGTTTGGCATCGTGTGTCATCATTGTCTGTATCCACTACCAGACTGAAATTTTGCAAGTAGGAGATGTCCCTGATTCAGCTCTGTATGTGTGAGACAAGACACAGCAACTGGCACCAGCTCACACACTGCTTGTTGAATGAATGAAGGAATGGTACCTTCCGGTCATCCAGGTCGATTTTGTTTCCCAGCACCACCATGGGGTAGGGCTGCTCCACAGGGATGATCTTGGCCAGAACGTCACCCCGCCAGATATCCAAGGCTTCAAAGGATTCCAGGTCTGTGACATCGAAAGCCAGGAGACAGCCATCGGAGCCTTTGTAGAAGGTGGACACTACAGAGCGGAACCGCTCCTGCCCGCCTGTGTCCCAGATCTAGAGGGGAAGAAGGGCCACCAAGGGCTGGGGTGAGTGGCTGGAGGGAGGCCTCACCATGTTTCAGTTCTCTCTCCTGGTGAGGAGGTAGGAAGTCCTGGCACAGGGGTACCCAGTCCCTTCACGCTGGAGTGCTTGACCTCCCCACCCCTATCCTGCCCCGCCCCGCTGCATACAACACCGCTGCAGGGACACTCACACACTCATAGCCGGCTCTCAGTGGGACTGCTTTTCCCATCTGAGGGATCCTGAAAGCTCGACCTTGAGAGTGACTTGCCCAAGGTCATTGCTAAGTTTCCCAGAGATTCTGAGACTAGGTGGTGCTTCTCATCTCCCAGTTTCGGGGCTTGTTCTCTTCCTTCTAGATCAGGGATCAACACCTTGCCTGCCCCACCTCCATCCCCAGAACCACATAGCAAACATTTGCAGCCTTGCAAGCTATGTTTTTCTTAGTTATAGTAACTCAAGGACTTGATCATCCTGTGCAAAACATAGGAAGTGAGCCAATGGGTGTTGCTGTGTCCCAAGAAAAGCATATTTATCGAATCAGCTAGGGCACAAGTCAATCTCTGGCTTGGACCATGCTAGCTCTGGATACAACTCACTGTGTCAGTAGCTGTGCAGGGGTGCGAGCGAGCAACAGGTGGGTGTTTTCTGCAGAGGTGGTGGTGGCTCACCTGCAGCTTCAGCGTCGTGTCCTCCAGGTTGATGATCTTGGAGAGGATGCTGGCCCCCAGTGTGGTCTGGTAATCTTCATAAAACGTCTTGTGCACATATTGGTGAAGGAGGGAAGTCTTCCCCACGCTACGGGAAAACCCCAGGCACACGTGAGCACACAGCTTCATTTGTCCCGTTCTCAATGTCTTATCATACCCCTCTCATGGCTGTCTCTCCCTGAGATTCTGAATTTCTAACATCCTTGGTCCACGGGACTAAGGCATGTTTTTTGGAGACAGAAAACAATGAAAATGATCTGAGATGTTGGCTGCTCAGGGTTTTCTTGAATGTTGCAGGCAGTGGGGAGGGCAGTCAGCTGTTAAATGGCTTGTCTGGTTACTAGTCACACAGCCAGTTATTAAAGGTTAATGCAGAGCTAGGACCAGGAGTCATCAATTGCTCGATTGCTCTACAGCCTCTTTCTCCCAGTTACGCTTCTTCCTGGTGCCACCTGAGTCAGGAAGGGACCCATGGGAGGTGGGAGCACACCCCAGTACCAGGGATGGGGTCTCAATGCCTCTGGGTTAGAGGCGATTCCTGTGCTTACCCAAGGGCGCCAACAATGATGAGTTTCAGGTCCACTTTCTTCTGGGGATTCATGGAAGGGCTCCAGAACCTGCAGAGAAAGAGGGGATTTGCAAAGGCTGACTCTAGGCGCCTGAGGCCATCCTGAGGCTGGCCTTGCACCCCTGTCCGTTGAGGACCTGCCTGGGTTCCTCCCCATATCTGCCCCGGGGAACCTCCTGAGGTGGATCTAGAAGAGTGGTGATCCAGAGGGCAATCAAATGCCTCTGCCTGCAACTCTCCCAAATCTGCTCTTTGAGGTAACCCAGAGTGCCAGGGTAGAATGGGGCTGACCAGAGGCCTCACGGTCAGCCAAGCCTGCAGCCAGCCTGGGATGCAGGGCCGTGTCAGGAGAGGGGATAGGGAGCAGGGACAAGGGGCTCGTTGTCAGCAGGGCCCACAGGCTGTGGGTGGAAGCATGCTCCACCCCCACTCCCAGCTGAGACAGGGCTGTAGCTGCCAATCAAAAAAAGCTCACTGCAGCTGGCCAGAGAGGAGTTGACATGTTTCTAGGAAGCCACTTGGCAGCCAGAGCTGAGAGCCCTAAAATGTCCCTGTTGGGCATTTCTAGGAACAGGTCTTAAGAAAACAGTCTGAAAGGCAGGCCAAACATCTCGTTCAGGGCCATTCTGCACAGTTTTGTTCATAAGCATCCAATCCCAAAACAAAACAAAAACAAAACAAAAACCTCGCTGTGGCACACAATAACTGATCTATTAAACAGGCATTCAAATGCTTAAGAGAATTTTATAGCAACGTGGGAAATGTCCAAGCCCCAGTGTCTGAATGCAAAGCAGAAGACAGCAACTTGCATGTGCAAAATCAGCCCAAACATTTAAGTGAGTTTCTACTTGTACAGTGAAAGGCTTACAGGGAGACACATATAAAGATGTCGAGTCCAGCAATCCCAATATGGATTTATAGCTAAAGGAGATAACATCATGTGTTGAGGAGAAATCTGCACCTTGTGTGGCATTGCAGCCCTATGCACAATAGTGACGATGCAAGATCAAGCTGAGTTTATGCATAAGGACAAGGTGGGAGCTCTTCCACTCAGCCTTCGAAAATAGGCCAACTCTGCCCCTTGTAATGATATAAACATCTGGAAAACCTTGTGTTAAAGGAAATAAATCAAACACAGAGAGCTAAATGCTGCCTAAGCTGAACCAGTTGAACTCAGCTACAGGGATTCAGGGGCAGGTGCAGTTGGGGAGATGCTGATCAAAGGACATCAAGATTGCATTCAGGGTATCTACCACACAACCTGGTGCCTGTAGCTAGTATCCATGTCTTGTACTCTTGGAAATCATCAAGAAGACAGGTGTTGGACATTCTCATCATAAAAACACAATAAGCACAAGGGTGCTTCCAGGCATTCCTGGAGAGGCAGACATCATGCCCCAGTGGGTGAACTGCTGCATGGGAGTTCTGCATCCCACACTGGGCTGCCTGGGTTGAGTCCTGGCTCTTTCTTGCATTTCAGACCCAGCTTCCTGGGTGGTAGCCTGTGATGGCTCAGGTGCTTGGGCCCCGGATGCTCTAGAAAGGAAGCCAGCACAGGGAGCTGGGGAAGACACTGGCCCTGGCTGAGCATGCGCAGTGGCTGCTCTGCTTGCCCCGGTGGGTGTGAGGAAGCTGCAGTCCACTCCCATTAGAGGAGGGCAGTTGGCACCTGCAGCCAGCTGCTGACTGGAGATATTCAGAGAGAGACCTGCACCTGTGTGGAGCACGGACAGCCTGGCTTCCTTGTTGCTATGTCCTGGATAATGGTAAGAATCAGAACCCTTAGGATCTGTGTGCACAGGAATCCAGGGCCTTGGGCTGGGAGAGCTGGGAGAGCTCAAGGAGACAGAGCAAGGAGTCAGCAGAACAGAGAGCTGCAGTGGGAGCAGAAAGCATGGGATGGAAATTGTCTACTTCGAGGTTCCCCAGTGGTAGAACCACGCATGTAGTCAGCTCTCACACTACACGCACACTCATGTGCCTCGCATTGGTGCTGAGAGGTCTGCCAAAACCCAGATAAAAATGTACATATCCTTGGGAGGGCTGAAGGAATTCCTATGTTATTACAACACATTGAACATACAACGTGCTAGCGGGCACGGATTACGGGCCTGAGACACGCCAGTCAGCTAATGACTACCATCTGTGCACATCAGCAGCCTGTGGGCACTGCAGCTTTAGGATCCTGATTTGACTCCTAAAGAGCTGGCCAGCCAGAGATGGGAAGCATTTTGTCCCCTCATACAGAAGCTGTAGCTGGACGTGGTACACTCATCTGAATCCGCAGCCCAGGTCCAGAAGCGACAGGCTTCACAGTGGCAGCCACACAGCCCAGGCCTCAGCGTCCCGCGTGAGTGAGAGTCCAGGTGGATGTGCAAGGGAAGGGAGGATGGGAAGATAAAGTGTGTGATTCCTTGCATGCTGCTGAGCATCAGTACCCAAAGCAGAAAACACCCTTTCAGAAGATAAAAAAGACAGCGCACCAAAAAAGAATATGGACAAAGATTATGAGAAAGCAACTTTAGCTAGAAAACTTCCATGAATTCTGATCCATTCCAACTCTGGGATGTTAGGTGGGTGTGAAAAGATGACTCCGAGTAATAGGAAGCTAAGTGTGATATGCAAGTCAAAACATAAGCTGGAGCAAGAATTTGTGTAGCAGGTCCCCCACTGTATACAAATAGGCAACATGTCAGGTCACGTGTTTCATTATATGTACGTCCGTATGATATGTACACTTGGCCTGTGAATGCACATCCAGGAGGGCAGATGCACCCTAGACAGTGAACAGGAGACGGGAAAACCGGTGACAGGCTATGTGTCTGGATTTAATATTTGTTGCACAAGCCCAAGTTATTTTTGTAATTAAACACACACACACACTGGTTTTAAAAAAGTGTGGGCGGAGGGCAATCCGGAGCCTTTTGTATGTGGCTTCCTGGCAGGATGAGGCACTCTGGGGCCTGGGACAGGACAGAGAAGCTGCCAGGCATGGCAGAGTGGTCCTGGTTTAGCAACCGGAGCTCTCAGCCCTGCCAAGTACCTGGCTGACCTCGGGGAGTCCCCTCCCCTACGGCCAACTGCCCTCTCACGGGGGAAATGGAATCCCCTCTGTGGGTGGCACATGTGGGTTCTCATCGCACAATGTCTCCACCTCCTCCAGTTTGGAATGATCCAGATAGCTCCTTCCATCGGGACAGCAGGAGTTTAGGGGCCAGAGACTTGACTGTAGGACTTGCCATTTTCCATCCCATTTGGGGGTACCCATGAATATCTGCACCCCAAAGGCCATTTGATCCAAGCTCCCACCCAGTGCTCCAGCCTTTGCCACCACAGCCATGCCAAGATGTGGCCAGCGACCCCCTGGGCTTCCTCCCTCGCCGGGAACGGTTTCTCCTTGCTTGCGTCCCCTCCACACACCTGCCCCTTCGCCGTTTGCAACCTTCTGCTTGAATTGCCCTGAAGTCTTTCTTCTCAGAACCTTCTGACTTGCCTCAGCCTTTGACTCACCTGCCCCCAACTCCCCAAGCCCTGACTACCTGGGTGCCTTCCCTTGGACCTGCCCTCAAAGTGCTCCATCCTTGTAAGCTCTTGATCCAACTCCCAGTGGGCCGGGCATTTGCTAGGCCTGTTGTTTAAAGATAACCTGCTCTTTGAGCCTGGGGTCGCCCACCGGAGCAAGTGTGATTGGGACTGGGTCCATGGCAGGGGGTGGGTGACTGGGGTTAGACACAGGTTAGGGTCAGCTAAGCAGTTCAACAGATACAGGGATGGCTCAAGTCCCTTCCCTGGCCAGCTCTCTTCTGCTGCTGCCTGGGCCTTGGCTGTGGCTGTCCTTTGAAGCCTCCAGTCACCCACTCAGCTGAGTCAAATGTTCCCAATCAGGGCATCTTCCAGGAGGACAGGCTGAGTCACCCTCCACTGTTAAACCACAGTAGAAGCATGAGCCGGACTACAGGCCCCTGGCGCAGGGCTGCACGTAGCAGAGCCTGAAGACCCTCACTTCCTGTTGGATGTGACCAGCTCATGCCCCCTGCCACAGCCATGGTCTGGCTGATTTGGTGCCAAGCAAGAAAGACAGAGGAGTGCCTGGGTCCAGCTCCGTGGGAAGTCTTGCACCTGCTCTACTTCTGCCTTCCCACTTTCCTTCTCTTCCTGCTCCATGCCTTAGCCAGGACCTGGGCCCTGTCTTTTGCCTCCTTCCAGCCAGGTGAGGCGGATGGACTAGTGACTCTGGCACAGGAGGCGTGGGAAGCAGGCACAGGTCTGGCCCTCCGGCCTCTCAGCATCTCCCCGATGATTGCCTTGGAAAACTACAAAGCATCCGCCCTTAACAACAAGAACTCTCTGATTGCTTTACCCACTGAAGCCCTCGCAGGTCTAGACCTGCTCCTCCTGGGGAGTGCACCCAGAGCCTATTTTGGGGCTACTCACAAGTCTCACTCTTGAGTTCTGTGGGCGTGGCAATCCTGTCTCCCCCAGCTGTGTATTCCCAGGGGCAGGGCAGTGCCCACACCTCTCTGTATCCCTCCTCCTCCCTGCCAAGAGACTGAGGGAAATGCTGGGAGAGGCTTCCCTTAGATGTCTGTCCATCCACGCATCCATCCACGCATCCACGCATGTAGCCATCCAGCAGGAGTGCCCAGTGCCTGCAGTGCCCTAGCCCTGTGTATGTCTGGGGACACAGCTCAGTTAACTATTGCCGCTGGAGCTTGGCAGTGGAGAAGTTGGTTAGCAAGCCCAAAGAAACTGTTTTTATTCAAACATTACAGAGCTCAAACAGTTTACAAAATGCCCTTCGGGCACAGTGGATTTCTGAGGCAGAACAAGTTAGTGGCAAGCTGGGACCGAAACCCAGATCCGCCCAGCTCTGTTTATGGACTCGCCCAGCCTGGGAGCCCTGCGCTGGTAGAAATACTTAAAATCTGCAACAGAAGGGGCAATTTCTTCCTCCAGCGGACACAACTTCCTCCCCGCACCCGCAGAAAAGTAGCCAGTCCACGTGGGAGAAGGCTTGGGCAGGCCCTGAGGCAGCGACACCGCCCTTCCCCGACACGGCCTGGGGCTGACGGCTCTTGTAGATCGCTTGGCCGGGGCCCAGCTGCCAGAGTGCCCCGGGAAGTCCCCTTTTCCGCCACGCTCCGCGAGTTTATCCAGGGTCCGGGGTCTCTGCGCTGCAGCAGGAGAACCGCAGCCTGCTGCCTGCCTCCCCTCCCTCCACGCCTCCCCCCAGCACCCATACAGCAGCCAGAAGGCCGGCGCCGGACTTCCAGGGCACTCACAGTGGCGGCCGCCAGCACGGGGCATCCGAGGGCTGCCGGAGAGGTTCCTGCTGAGTCTGGCTGTTGTTGCAGGACAGGCCAGAGCCAACAGCGCGCTGCTGTAGCCCCGTTGTGGCGAGGCCAGGGCTTCCCTGCGTTTTACTCCTCTTCCTCTCGGCACGGACTTGGGAAAGTTGCAAAAGAGGTTGGGCCGGGTGACCTCAGCCGCGTGGGTGGAGGGGGTGGAGTGGAATGGGAAAGTCGTGGCCTCACAGCTGCCAAGCGAGGCCCCTGGAGCTTCTTCTACAGGGAGTGTGGAGGGTGGCAGCCTAGGTCCTGGAGCTGCGCTGGTGGGTACCCAGGAGACCTCTGGCTCCTGCAGGAGTTTCTGTCTTGGCCCTTTGGTTTACTGAATTTTCAGATACACTCAGATACGGTGGACTAAGCACCTGCCAGGAAGGAAGAGGTCTGATCTTCGTATCCTAACCTCTCTCCAGTATTGTACGTGTGTGCGCGCGCATACAAACACCCTATTCTATCATCACACATAATGTCATAGCCTTATTACACACATCCCATACTCCATCACATACATATATCATACCCCCATACACAGACATACATAACGCTCTCACCACACACATATATCTGACCCTCATCACACGCTGCACACGTGCATATGTATATATCTTACTCCCATTACACACACATATCACATTCCATCACACACATATGTATATTATACCCTCAATACACATACACACATATCATACCCCATCACACAACACATGCACACCATACACACACACATCTCCCCACACTATACATACCCCCACTGCACAACCACACCCCATCCCCACACACTGTGCACTCCACACAACTCCATCTACATACACACACCCCAACAGGCATGTGAGCTGTAAGGTGAGTCCTGACACCTACGGGGACTCTAGGTGAGGCTGTGTGACCCCGCCTCACATGGGGAGGAGACTGCTGTGATTGCAGATCCTGGAGCCACATTTGGGGTGACTGTGGCTGCAGATGAAGGGGGGTATAGTGAGCTCAGATAACGCCCTATGCAGGGGTCCACAGCGCTCAGCTGCACCCCGACCCCTCCTGGCTGGGGTTTTGCTCTCAGCTGGCTTTGTGTGACCCTTCTGGCTGTCAGCTGATCCTCGCTGTGTGTCTAGAAGTCTCGGGGCTCTTTCTGCTGGTCACACCTTGCATTCCTCAAGGGCAGAGCCAATGTCCCTGCATCCCACACTGGCCATTCTCTGGGACAAGCCCTGCTGTGGAGTTTTTGTTGGAGCAAAGTGGATGTCCATTGCCTCCTTCCAGTTAGCAAATGTGCCTGCTGGGTAGACACAAGGATTACCATGCAGGATGATACTGGGCAGGGTGATCTGCTGCTGGAGACACAGCAGAATGTGTCTGCCTAGAAATACCACACACACACACACGCACACACACACACACACGCCTTCCACCTATTGGCTCATTCCCTACATGGCCTCAAGGCAAGGACTGGGCCATGCTGAAGCCAGGATCCTGGGATCCCATACGGATCTCATGCATGGGTGGCAGAGACCCAAGGACTTGCACCATTTCTGCTGCCTTCTCAGATGTGTTAGCAGGGCGCTGGATCGAAAGTGGAACAGCTGGCACTCAAACTGGTGGTCTGATATGAAATGATGCTGTCACGATCAACTGTTTAACTTGCTGTGCCACAAAGCTAGTCCCAAGACAAGGTTTAAATTGAATGTGTGAGTGTGTGTGTGTGTGTGTGTGTGTGTGTGTGTGTGTGTGTGTGTATGAGAGAGAGAGAGACTCAGTCCAGATCATGCAGTTTCTTTCAGAGAACAGACAGGAGCTGGTGAGGAGCCTGTTGCTGATGCTACCACCTCTACCGCTATTGCAGGTGTCGAGGGCTCAGGGCCCGTGAACTCTCCTTGGCCACCCCTCACAGCTTCTGAATGCAGTGCTAGAGTGCATGCTTTCAGGGGACGCAGGCAGAACCATCCCCGATAACTTAGGCGGCTGAGTCACCAGTCACCCGCAGGAGTCTCCACTTCCCCCGGCCACATAGCTGAGAAGTCAGCAGCTTTACGTTTCCTCTGACACACACTCCCATGGAGGGTGACGCCATGCTTGCAGTTGGCAGGGGAGACCCAGGCGCTGCGCACACTCAGTTTTCGTCTTCTTCCTCGGCTTCCTGTGGTCTTTCACCCACACTCAGAGTAGGCCAGGCCCTTTGGGGCCAAAACATGAGTCCTTGCACTTCATCTATGGACATAAGACAGGGAGCACATGAAGATGTCAGACGCACAGCCAAAGGGGAGGAGGCAGAGAATTCCGAGTAGAAAGTGCCAAGGAGAAGTGCTGTGCAGAAGGGGGCTTTGAGTTGGAGCTTGAAGCATGTGGCAGACTTGGACAGGTGCAAAAGGGGCACAGGTGGAGGAGGGAAAAAGACTGCCTAGTCAGAGAAGTGGATGGGGTAGGGGAGAAGGCATTGGCTGACAGAGTACACCAAGGGGCTCTGGGTTCCAGGAACCCCTTTTGATTCATATCCTTTGGGACTGGTAATCCCATTGGTGAGGGTACTTGAAAAACTTCAGGGAAAATGGAATTAAAAAGGTAACTTTAGAGGCCCACATTTGTGGCATAGTGCATTAAGCTGTCATCTGTGAAGCCAGCATTCCATTTTGGGGCTGGTTTTAGTCCCAGATCCTCCACTTGCAATCCAGCTCCCTGCTAATGGCCCAGGAAAGCAGCAGAAGATGGCATGAGTGCTTGGGCCTCTGCACCCTTATGGGAGACTTGGATGAAGCTGCTGGTTTCTGGCCTTGGCATGGCTCAATACTGGCTTTGAGGCCACCTGGGGAGTGAACCAGCAGATGCAAGCTCTTTCTCTGTAACTCAGCCTTTGAAACAAAGATTTTGTAAGAATTTTATTTTGGCACCAAAAAGTTGAAATTCATGTATAATTTTAATAGTATATGTTTTTGTTTTCTGTGAACTCTCTTTTCAAAGATTCATTGGATCATTTATTTGAAAAACCAATTGATGGAGAGAAAGAGAGAGATCTTCTATCTACTAATTCACTCCCCAAATGGGCTGTTTGTCAGGACTCAGCAACTCCACCCTAGTCTCCCACATGAGTTGCAGGGGCCCAATCTCTTGGGCTGTAACCCACTGCCTTCCCAGGTGTGTTAGGAGGAAGCTGGATTGGAAGTGGAGCACCTGGGACTTGAATCAACACTCCAGCATGGCATGCTGGTGTTGCAAGTGGCAGCTTGACCTGCTATGTTGTAACACTGGCCACTTCATGAACTTTATGAGGACCCCTCTTAGTCTCCCATGTCTTCACTATCCTAACACTTACCAGAAGGCACCTCTTTGGGGTGCAGTGGCTCTCCCAACACATAGTGCAAGTGAGCAGATGGGGATATCAGTGCATTTCAGGATAGGCTTGATGAAAAGTGAGCCCAGAGTCAGCACATCCCAGAAGTTGTGCCAGTGTACATGTCCCTGGAGTAGAGCAGGAAGCCCTTGAGGAGCATGGAGCAGGGGAGAGATGTGGTAAGAACTAGGTTTTAAGGTCACTGATCAGCCAGACACTGGGGACTTCGGGAGAGGCGAACCAAGTCTGAGTGCTGATCAGGATGTTCTTGGAATATTCCTGGGGGTGAAGTCACAGCCAGGGAGCTAGGGAGAAAGTGTCAGACCAGAGAAGCATTTTGCTGATGGAGTCAGCAGGGCGGTTGTCAACATTGTCCCACATTGGGCAGACGTCGTGGTGCAGCTTAAGCCTCACTCCCACAGGCTCCACCCTCAGCCTCCGGGGCATGAGCACCAGGTCAGCATAGGCATTGGGGGCAGTCCCAGGCAGAAAGGCCCTGCAGGAGGGAACCTGAAAGCTGCCATCCTAGGTGGAGTCCTGTGCTGCTCTAGGGGTGCCCTGAGCCAGAGAAGGGGTCATGAGCCTGTCTCTGGGCCTCCTCCCTCTGTGCCATCTGCCTGGGCAGACTCCATGAAGCAGATGCTGTTGTCACTCCGTCTTGTTCAGGCTGCTCCAGACTAATTCTGAAACTGGGCATTTAGTAAACAAAACAAAACTATAAAGAAAAAAAAGAGAAAAATTTAAAAACAAAACAAACAAACAAAAAAACAAACAAGTGTGTACACGTAGTCATGATCTACTCAGGACACAACACCTGTAGGGAAGGCTTAGCGTTTCCACCCTGGTAAATTCAGTCCCAACAGCTCGGCAAGGTGAATATCGCAGAGACAAGAAGGGTAGGGTTCAGGTGGGAATCCAGGCCATTTGGTTGTCATGCTCCTGTGTTTTTAATGCTGTTTTCCCTGGCATATTGGCAGGGAGCTGGATCATATATGGAACAACCAGAACTTGAACTGGTGCTTACATGGGATGCCAGTGTCACAGGTGACAGCTGTACCTGCTATGCCACAATGCCAGCTCCAGCTTTTCAGCAAGTCACCATCAATGAATGTGGGAAGTATTAGTTAAAATACTGAATGATGATTGGGTGAGGTTGACAACCCCGAGTCCATTTGTCAACTACCAACAGAGAAGCACTCGGCACCACCTGCCTCCTCCTAGGACACGACAGGATCACCCAGCACCTCTAGAACAAATTTGTCATAAAATTAAACCTGTGGATTTAGCTACCATTTTGTAGCAAGATGGGCTCAGAGAAACACATTAGGCAACACTTAGGGATTTCAAACATTTCATCCCGGATGCTGTAAAAGTCTGTCAATGAAAGAGACTTAGGAGATGTGGAACTTTCAGGTTTTATTTGAGTCCTGTTGTGGCCAAGTCCACTGTAGAAATTGTCAAACATTTGTAAGACAGCAGGAGGCACTTGAATTCTGGCTGCATCTTTAAGGACATTGGAAATATCTGGGACAAAATGGTGTGAGGCTTGGAAGGAATTCCCAAATAATGCAAGTATGTGGAGCTGGAGAGAAGTAAGGTGGTGTGGGTAAAGCAGGGTGGTATGTATGGGTGGGTTGCTCGAGTTGGGTGGGAGTGCATAGTGATTTATGACAATGAAGTGTGTGTGTGTGTGTGTGTGTGTGTGTTGAAATTTGCATTAATTGTATACCTGGACATGCAACTTAATTCTTAGGCTATCATGGAGAAGGTCTTAGTGTGTAAACTGTGTGTGTTCTCATGCAGTGTTTAGCCCTCATTCAAGTTGCAACTCTGGGAATAACTGAATTCCATGGAAAATGAGCTTTTAAAAATATTTATTTGTTATTTATTTGAAAGGGAAGAGTGAGAGAGAGAGAAGGAGAGGGAGAGAAACAGATGTTTCATCTACTGGTTCACTCTGCAAATAGCCATAGGTCAAAGCCAGGAGTCTGGAATGGCATCTGGGTGTGCCAGGTAAGTGGCAGGGGCCCAAGGACTCAGGCCACCTTCTACTGCTTTCCTAGGTGCATTAGCAGGGAGCTGAATCGGAACTGAAGCGGCCAGGACTCCAATATGGATATGGAATACCAACATCACAGACTGCTTAACCTACCGTGTTACAATATGGGCCTTAGAAGATGGCATTTTGACAAGTGTAAAGACCGCCTCAACCTAACAGGTACTACAGGTGTTGGGGAGGCAACACAGATTCAGAAGCCTACTTAGGGAGCCGCTGGGGCCAGCCCCACACGGTTATTCCCACGGTCAAAGACAGAGTAAAACTGTCGAATGAAGACGTCCCCCAGGATCCAAAGGGGCCCAGCTGGAGGCTGGATGTCAAGGCCTTGGAAGCCACTGCTGCAAAACTCCATTCCATCCACAAAGTCCTGGGGTGGAAGAGAAGTATGTCAGTGACAAAGGAGGAAGAGGGAAGAGGTACTGCCTAGCAGCTGTCCTGTGTGGTGGTGGTGTCCAGCACCGAAGGGCCTTGGGGAGTTGGCCTTGGGATGGCGTTAATGGGCAGTTAAAGTGCCAGCCCTTAGTGTATACCTTGGCACCTCTGTTCTGGCACAGTCACAGTCACTGATGCTGTGGGTGACTCCAGGAGTGTGCAAGGAGCTGTCAGGTGGAAAATCCAGGCCATCACAGGTTCCCCAGATACCAGGGCATGCCCTTTCTCCCTGGATTGCCTTCCAAAGACCGGAATTTACGGAAACAAGACATTTGCCTCCTTGAGGGAGCATGTTCATCTGAATGTTACAAGAAGTAGAAGAGGTCTTCAAAAAATTTGTGGAAAAGGTGTATTACAAATTAACAGGGCAAAGATTTTTGCACCAAAATAGATTGACCTTTTAATTCCAATTTTCACCAACTTTGGGAAGTCCCTTTGAGTAACCTTATTCTGATTGCCACTCTCCAGCAAAGCAGCCCATATCTGGACTTAATTTACTTAAGCTCTGAGCCTCAATATTCTCATCTATGAAATGGAATCATAGTATCTGCAATCTGACTTGGTGGTTATGAGGATTCTGTCCATTATAATGCTCTACGTTGGGAGTTCAGAAAGCTCTCCTTAAATGGCTTCCCAAAGTTTGCTGCTTCTTTGCGACAGAACTGGGAAACAGAACCAGGGAAAGGTCTTCCTGTGCCACCTTGGCAGAGAGTAGGAGGAACCCTGGCAAAGATGCAGCCTAAGGGCAGGTGACAGTTTGAGTAGGGGAAGTGACAGACCTGGGGGTAAGGCCCTGTGACTAGCAGAATGAGGAAACAGTCCTTACCAGCAGCGTGTAGGCAGTGGGGCTGAGGGTGTAGGAGACACCATTGATGACGAAAGTGACATCTGGCATGATGTTGAGGTTGCCACACTCCACGCCATACTAAGACACAGCACAAGAAGCCATGCTGGGGCCACTTGTCTCCCTGGAGAAGGAGGGGCGCCGGCACCTTCCCTCCCCCCACCACATCCTACTTCCCCTCCACTCTGCACCATGAGGTGCTCACCTCTCCATCCATAGGTGTCGCTCCAATGGCTGCTTGCAGCTGCTTGATTTTGTCTGGAGGGCCGGTGACAAGCGAGGTCCCTGTGTCCACAATGGCCTGGCAGCCCTCAGGGCAGAACATGGGCGAACCTCCCACCAGGATCCTGAGGGCCAAGGGAACGATTGTGGTCAGCCCTGCCACCTCTCCCTCTTGGGTAACTGAACCTTACTCCTTGCTGCTTTGCTTTTCCAGGGCCCCAGGCACAAGAGTAACAGGCGGTGTGTTCCCTCCCAAAAAGGGAGTGTTTCTCAAATTGGAGGGGAGAGAGGGCTGAATCCTAGTAAAGGAGTTTACTTTTTTGGCCCAGTACATGTGCACGCACCTGTGTGTGCACACACACAGAGGAAATACAGGCTGACATTATCTATTGAATTTTATCTCCTTAAACAATGTAGATCATCTCCACCCAAAATGATGCCTTGACCTTCAATGTATTGCATTCCAGCATTTTCTAGCCCAGAGCGAGGGATGTAGCAGAAATCTAGTCCCTATCTCCGATTACTCCATGCTGGGACACTGCATGTGTTGCAGGCTCAGGTTCAGTGACACTCCCCACTGAGACCCTTGATGGTTGCTGTGCCATGCTGAGCTTCTCACGCAGGTGCCGAAACCTTCCACTTCCCATGCAGTGATCCATAGGCATGTCTGACCTTCCATCAAGCTCTGCAAAGGCAAATCTAGGTCCTATTTCCATTGCTGTCTCTGTCCACTCAGCCTTGGCTTTGTGTGTGTATCAATGTTGAAGGACCAAAGGGCAGTGCATCTCAAGGAAGCTGCACCTCCTGCTGGGATGCTCATGCTGTTTTTGGCACCTCCCCTGGCCACCTCTGCATCCCCAGCCCGCAGTGGGGCTCCCAGCATCACCTCCCAACCACCCAATCTGAGTCTTGCCTGTGAGGGGCTCACCCATGGCACTGACCACCCCATGGAGGATACTCACTCATCCAGTGCGATCTGCCAGTAGCCTTGCTTAGTGACAGGGACCCAATTCAGACTCCCAGAGAAATGGGAGGAGTCGTAGCCTCCAAAGGTCAGCTCACTCCCTGAGCCACCTTCTGGGTTACTGCAGGGAGAGAGAGGAGCAGTGTTGAAGAAGGGCTACCTCCTCTTTGGTAACCCCACAGCCAAGCCTTGGTGGCTTGACCTGGACACTCAGGACAAAAATAAGAACATGACTTCTGGGCCTAGCACGATGGCCTAGTGGCCAAATCCTCGCCTTGCATGTGCTGTGATCCCATATGGGCACTGGTTTGTGTTCCGGCTGATCCACTTCCCATTTGGTTCCCTGCTTGTGAACTGGGAAAGCAGTAGAGGATGGCCCAAAGTCTTGGGACCCTGCACCCACGTGGGAGACCTGGAAGAGGCTCCTGGCTCCTAGCTTTGGACCAGCTTAACTCTGGCTATTGCAGCCACTTGGGGAGTGAACCAATGGATGGAGCATCTTTCTTTCTCTCCTTCTCTCTGTAAATCTGCCTCTCAATAAATAAATAAATAAATATATACATACATATATACATAAATCTTTTTAAAAATACCATAATTTCCAACCCCTGCAAGCTACTTAGTGTGGGCACTTTTTAAAAATTTTTATGTATTTATTTGAAAGGCAGAAAGACACACATGGAAACAAGCCTAGAGGCCTTCTGTTTTGCTGGCTCATTCCCCAATCAAATGTCTACAACAGCTGGGGCTGGGTCAGGCCAAAGCCAGGAGCTAGGAATCCCATTTGGTCTCCCTCATGGATGGCAGGGGATCAACTCCCTAAAGCATCAACACCGCCTTCCAGGGTATAAATTAGCAGGAAGCTGGAGTTGGGAGCATAGCAGGGACCGGAAGGAACCCAGGTAGACTGACACCAAACTCAGGCATTCCAGCTGGTATTTGCAAGAATGGAAATGGTACTACTCAGTGATGTGTTAGTACTCCTGCTTCTTGGAAAGAAAGGTTACAGAGGGAGGTATTGGGGACGGCAGGCAAGCCACACAGAACCAAGGCCAAAGTCAGCCAGGATGCACACACACTGTGATCTGAAGCATCCTCAAAGTCACTCTTTTTCATAGTGCAAAGGTCTTCCAATAACATGAAAGACAGAACTAAAAGAGAAATTTTTGGGGACTGGCATTACCATGTAATGGGTTAAGCTCTTGCCTGTGATGCCAACATCCCATTTGGGCAATGATTCAAGTCCTAGGAACTCTATTTCTGATCTAGCTTCCTGCTAATGCTCCTGGGAAAGCAGCTATAGATGGCCCAAGGGCTTGGGTTCCTGCACCTGTGTTGGAGACCTAGATGAAATTTGTGGCTCCTGGCTTTGGCCTGGTCCAGCCCCAGGCCAAATGCTGCCATCAGGAGGATGAAGAAGCAGATAGAAAATCTCTCTTTCTCATTTTCTCCTTCTTTCTTTGTCACTCTGCCTTTCAAATAGGAAAATGAGTCTTTAAAAAGTTAGAAAGAGAGATTTCTTTTGGTTCTAAGTATATGTATATATTTAAGTGGTGCATCCTCATATCTTCCCTTCGTGGTTGCAGTGGTAGGTGGAGTTTCTGTATTAGTCACTCTGCAGAGTAAGCAGAGGAAAGACAATGTGAATGCAGCGTGACAGTACAGCAAGGGTTTTGGTCAGTTTTCCTTGGTTTGGATTGCTCATGTCATATTCTATTACCTAGAAGAATTCTGGGGGAATAAGGCATGTTTTCAGGATGAAAGAGAAAAATACAGAACTGCATTGCAAGGCAGGAGAGTGAAGTGGTAGTGACCCAAGTGTCTACAGACTTTTAGGGAAGTGGATTTGGAGAGGCGAGGGGGAAGCACCTGACACTTCTGGTGGCCTCTGCTGCACATCCTACCTACCTAACCTTACTTGACTCTTACATTGTGTTCCAATTTTAGTATATGTGCTGCCCAAGTGAACACTGACTCTTCCATGTTACTGGTGTCCATTTGAGGGAACTGAGGCACAGGGAGAAGAATTATCGTGTGTTGGGACTTCAAAAAGTTCATGGAAATGCATATCATGAAAAAACTGCAAGATTCAAAAAAATTTTTTTTGCAGCAAGATAAATTAATCGTTTAATTTCATTTTTTCCCCCCATAACGTTTTTCTAGCACCCTTGTAAGTGATGGGGTTTAAGTCAAGCCTGTCTGGCTCCTGAGTCTGTGGTATTTCCCATTACAGCTCATGCTGGAAGGGAGCAGGCCACCCAGCAAGCACGGCAAGAGGTGTGAAGGCAACCTGCCTCTCTCCCCGCGCCATACTGCAGCCCAGTCTGGCCTTGGCTGCAGCCGTGTGTGAAGGCAAGGGAGAGAGCAGCACATCTGGACAGGGTACACTTGGGCTCCCCATGTGGAGGTAGGGACCTAAGAGGAATGGACAGGCTGAGCTCAGGTCAGGAAGGAGTTGGGCAGGAGGAAGAGCTCTGCTCCTGAAGGCACCTCTCCTGAACCCCCAGGACAGAGCACCTTTCCCACTATAAAGGACGGTTCTTTGTCTACATTGTGGTCAAATGGCAGGTATTTGACCTGAAGGTTAAGACACAGTTGAGACCCCCAAGTCCCTTGTCAGAATCCAAGGGTTAAATTCCTTGCTCTTGACTTCGGCTTCCTGCTTTTACAGGCTCTGGAAGCAGTGCTGATGGCTCAGGCAGGTGGGGACCCTGCCACCCTCGTGGGGGACTTGGATTGAGTTCTTTATTACTGCCTTCAGCCCAGCCCAGGCTTGGCCTGACAGGTACTTGGGGGATGAAGCCACAGGTGGGAGTTTCACTCTCAAATTAATTAATTAATAACTTGTAAAACATATGCCAGGACCCCAAAAAGTACCTGGAGAACATGTACTGTGAATAAACTATACATAGATTTCAAAATCGCTTCGCACCAAAATAAATTTTCCTTTTAATCCCGTCTGTTTTCACTTTTTCAAACATTGTTATTAAAATACAGTATGCATATCAACAAATGCAATTAAGTGTATGGATCAATGAGGTTTTTTTTTTTTTTTTGCCAGCTGATCACTCCCTTAACCTAATTTAACCTTTAGAAACATCCTTGTATAACAAAATTTGCCATCCTCAGCTTGTGTGAGCACAGCTCGGTATGAAGCATGGTCACATTGTTACACAGCCTGCCTCCAAGCCTTCATTTTGTGGAAGTAAAACTCCATACCTGTCAAAGGAGAACTCCCTACTTCCCCTGCTGGAGACCCCACTAACCCCCATTCTGCTTTCTGTCTCTATAAACTGAACAACTTCCAGATGCTTTGTCACGTAGCCTTTATGTCCTGGCTTATTCCATTTGGCTTGATGTCCTCAAGTTTCATTGGTGTTGGAGCCTGTGTCAGAATTTCCTTTCCTTTTAATGCCCAAGTGATAATCAACCATACATACCACATTTTAGGGTGCACTTATTTCCATCGTCAGCTTACTTTGCAATTTTTCCGGCTTCTTCTTCCCAGTCCCCACCCACCTGGGAACTGTCTTCCTTGTTTCGTTGTGTGCTAACACCTAACGTCATAGATAATATGCTCAGCATGTCATAGCAGTGTGTGATATTTACTGATTGCTCAGTGAACAGCCAGTCTCTGTGAATCTTGCAACTGAACTCAGCATGGTAAGTTTACAAAGTGCTAATTCACAGCTGTTTTCTGATGTGAACCCCCCTTTACTTGGTATGGAGGGGTAAGTGTTCTGTCGCAGAACACCCAGCTGGTAACGAGTAAGGCAAGAGCTCCAGCCCAGTCTTCTGAACGCTAAGCCCCACGTGGTCTCCCCAAAGTCACAACTGACCCTCACCCGATGGGCCTGCTGGGCCTTACCTGCTCATGTAGACGGAGAACATCGGTAGGCTGACCAAGTTCTGGGCCATCATGTTGTCAAACACGGGCGTCACTCCTCCAACAGCCAAGGACGGGTATCCCAGGCCCAGGATGCCATCAAACTCTGCATTCACAAAGGTCTGGCCCGGCTCCTTGACACTTTCTCCAAACTGCTGGCCCACCACGGTCAGTCCTTCCACCTGGCAAGGGAAGCCCCAGGATTCCCGGTTTCTGTCTGTTCTGAAGCTACTTCCTGCATCCTCTTGTCAGCCTCCCCCAGTGCCATCTCAACCTTCACTGGTGTGACTGGCACAAGGGTTCTTGTCGTGTTTCTGCCACTTAATATTTTATATAAACTGTTTGCGTTGAAACAATACACAGATCATTCATGCCCAGTTCTGTAACTGAACATCCCACAGGTTCAGCCTCAGAGGCCCTTTGCTTCCTGCCAATCACTGCACCCTCCTCTCCTGGCTCCCAACCACATATGTTCCTTTAGTCTATTTTCTATCAGTGGAATCATCCAGTATGAACTCTTGTTTCTAGCTTCTGTCACTCAGCATGGTGCCTGCTCACGCTATAGCCATTTGTTTATTCTTCTTACTGTGCCATGGTATGAATACATAATGGCATGCATATCCACTCTTAATCATTGATAGAAATGTGATTTGTTTCCTCCATTTCACTACTGCCCCTAGTGCTGCTTTTGTAAATATCATTTGCTGAATGTCTTTCTGTATTTCTGTTGGATATGTGCCTACAGATAAAATCGCTGGGTTACAGAGTATAATAGCGTCTTCCTGAGTAAACAGAGTTGCAGAGTTGTCCACAATGATGCTACCAGCCCATACTTCTTCTATCAGTATTTTGAGAGTTTCCGTTACTTCTTATCCTCACCAACACTAGGTACTGCCTGCTGTTTCTGTTCTGTTTTTCTACTTGATAGGAAAAATGGCTACACACAGGCTTTAACTCTTATGTTGTGATAATAAGGACATTTGCACAACCTCTTTTGTAAAGGGGGTGGTTTGCATTTTTCTTGCTACTGATTTCTAGCAGCTAATCCTTTGTTGGTGTTTGTGGAAGGAGGTTTTACTTCTTAATAGTACCGTTTTCTTGAGTAGAAGATATGAATTTTTGCTCCCTTAATTGCATCTTCATACATATATTAACTTTATTGTATTCATCAACAAATTTACCAACTTCTTTATTATTAATGGGTTTTGCAACTTGTTCTGGAAGTTTCTGCCTACCCTGATGCCATAAAGACATTTTTCTATGCTTTCTTTTCACAGTTGTGTTGTTTCACTTTCTTGTTTAGGTCTGTGATCTATCTGGTGTTTGACAATGTGTGGAGGAGGATTCAAGCTTCATTTTTTCTCTATATCCATATTCAAATGACCCATATTCATATTACACCATCATTTCCTCCACTGACTGTAACAGTATGTCCAACATAAGTCACATGGATGCACAGGCAGGGTCTCAAATTTTTAATTTGTTCTAGATGTATATTTTTTTATTCCTATGCCAACACCACAGTGTCTTATTATTAAACCTTTATAGTATGCCTTAGTATTTGGCAAGTGTTTTGCTTAATCAAGATTGGAGCATACATTCATTCCTAACAAAAAATTGCTGCTATTTTGACTGGGCAATATTTATAGATCATTTTGGAAGTACTTGACTTCCTTATAAAGCTATACCATCCAATCCATGAATAGTTAGTCTCTTAAGTCATGTCAGTCTTCTTTTAGTTACATCCAGTAATGTTTAGTTTTTAGAGTAGAGGTCTTACACATTTTTTGTTAAGTTTACTTCAAGGCAATTGAGATGTTTGATAATATAAATAGTGTCATTGAAGTCTATATTCAAGGGCCTGGCACAGTAGCCTAGCGGCTAAAGTCCCAGCCTCGAACACACTGGTATCCCATATGGGCACCAGTTTTAATGCCTGCAGCTCCAATTCCCATCTAGCTCCCTGCCTGAGGCCTGGGAAAGCAGTGGAGGACGGCCCAAAGCCTTGGGATCTTGCACCCACGTGGGAGACCTAGAAGAAGTTCCTGGCTCCTGGCTTCAGATAGGCTCAGCTCCAGCTGTTGCAACCTCTTGGGGAGTGAATCATCGGACGGAAAATCTTTGTCTCTCCTCCTCTCTATATATCTGACTTTCCAATAAAAATAGATCTTTAAAAAAAAATCTATATTCATTTGCTTTTCCTGTTACGTAGAAATGACATGACTTTTGTATACTGACCTCATATTTAGTAACCCTGCTAAATTCACTTATTAATTCCAATATTCTTTTGTTTTTTTTAAAGATTTATTTATTTTTATTGCTTTTTCCTAATTCCTATTAATTTTGCTAAAACCTGATTGTGTCCTTTCCAAATGTTGTTGTTAGAGTTATATGGCTTCATAAGATGAGTGATCTTTCTGTACCAGTTATGAGGAAGGGCTTCTGTAAGTCTGGTGTAATTTTTTGCTTTAAATGTTTAGAAGTAATTGCCAGCAAGGCTCCCTGGGCTTGGAGATCCCTTTGTAGAAAGATTGCTAAGCACAGAATCAATATTTGCAGTAGATACTGGGCATTCACACTTTTTTTCCTTACATCAACTTTGGTAAGCTGCCCTTCTTAAGATACTTACTGATTTTTTAAAAAGTATAAACTCTATCAGTGTAATAAACTCATGTTTATGTTTGCAGGGTTTTTGGTTCTGCCCTATTTTTCATTTCTAATATTGTTAAGTTGCATTTTCTTCCCTTTTATCTCCATTAATCATGCTAGGAGTTTATTGATTTTACTACCTCTTGCCAAGAGTTAACTTTTGGCTTTGTGCGTTTTTTCTATTATGTGGCTTTCCTGTTTCACTGGTGTTCTCTTTGTATTTCTTTTTTTTTATATATAAGATTTATTCACTTTTTTATCGGCAAGTCAGATACACTTTGCGTTTCCTTCCTTCTATTTTGTTTGGAGTTGATTTGTGTGGTAATTAGTTTGTGGCTTGTTTTCATGTTGTTTTTGCTTCTTGAAGTAGGAAGTTAGCTCACTGGATTTCCAGCTTTTATATCCATCCACACGTTTCTGGCTGTAAATGTCCTTTTGAGGACTGCGCTATGTCCGCACAAGGGGAGCACGCGTAGTACTTGCATGTGTGGTCGTGTAACTGATATTTGGTGATATGTCCCTGTGGACGCTAAGGAATGTCCTGAACAGGTGCCTGCAGTGTTGGCAGCAGAAAGGGAAAATGTGAACTGGGAGAAGGGCCACTTGAACCTGGGGAGGTAAGGTGCACTGGAGCCCACCTGGATTTCTCAACACCCCCAAGCCTCCAACCTCAACTAAGTGGAGTCTGCCGCAGAAGGTGCCAGCCCAGAGGAGGACAAGGCCTGGCCCCGGATCCAGGAGAGATAGGGGAGGAACAAGTGCGGTCAGGACTGCTGAACTCCCTCTTGTAGCACGGGGTGGGGGGTGGAGTGTTTTGTCTTGTGGTTAAGCTGCCACCTGGAATGTCTCTGTACCACATCAGAATGCCTGGGTTTGGTACCTGGTTCCAGCTCCTAACCCTAGCTGCCTGCTCATGCAGACACGGGGGAGGCAGCAGGGATGGTTCCAGTGATTGGGTTCTTGCCACGCCCGGGTGAGGATGGCGGGGAGGGGGTACCAACTTTAATTTCTGGCTTCAGTCTAGCCTCCTCGTGGCCATTGTGGGCATTTGCGAGAGTGAGCCTATGGATGGGATTGATCTCTCTCTCCCCAAAACTCTCTTACATGTCAATTCCAGTTCCTTCCTTGTTTTCTAGATGTTCTCACAGCGATCAATTAGGATATAGCCTTCCAACAGTTTTGAACCTTTACATTCATTTATATAGAGTGTGTGAGTGTGTGTGTGTGTGTGTGTACAGTTCCAACAGAGAAAACAGCCACTATTTCAGCCGTGCATTACTGTGCCTGATATTCTCTACATTCAGGGTGTTTTACTGCCCCTGCTGTTTTCCACATACTAATACATCATATCCCCACCTGCTGTGATGAAAGCTGGGCTCTGTGGACCCAAGTCCCGCAGAACTGAAAAAGTTTTCACTAGGAGCAGGTCAGCCTCTCGTTCCCCAAGGCCTGGCTACCCAGGCGGGACCAGGATTCTCCCACTTCCCTGGTCCTTGAGCTCTGGCTCAAGGCAGAACCCTGTTTTGGCTCCTCGGTGTGCCACAGGCTTCGCTCGCTCCGCCCTGCTTCCTGCAGGCATGTCCCCAGCCGGCCCTCCAGGACCTAAGGCTGCCACACACCTGCTGCTGCGCACGCAACAAGCCCCGCCCTCTTTCCACCTCTACCCAAGGCAGAGCTGAGTTTCTTCTCTAAGACCTGAGCACAAGGCTCCCATTCCCTGTAGAGAGAGCAAAGCCGCAGGACTCGCACTCACAGAGACTTGGTCCGAGCCGATGATTCCGGTCAAGCTCCCGGTTCCGTAGGCAATGGAGAAAGGAGTGCCCACCTCGCTGTAGGTGTTGGACTGGGAAGGGCGGAACTGGGGGTGCGTCTCTGGAAAGCAAAGGTACTGCTTTTACTGACCAAGGCCACCAGGAGTGCAGGGTCTCTCTCTTCCTTGCCTGGGGGCCCTTGCACAGGCCTGTCCTGCCCCTCCCTCCAGCCACAGGTATGGCCTAATTGGGAACCAAATTGTTGTCCTGGCACACCTGACTGCCCGCAATGACCTCATGAGGCACACCAAGATAAGCCCCATTTATCAGGCGCCAGCATCGGTCTCTGGATGGTGTGGGGCAGAGGCTGGCCTTCGGGGGGCCAGAAGCCAGGGATAAAAATTGCCACCCCAGGAAATTAGGCTCCCCACTTCCATCCAGACCCCAGACCCCTAGTTTAAGGGTTCCAGGAAGTGTCTGGGGCTCGTCTCCCCTCTCTCTTGAGCTCTTTTTGTGATCCTCACTGAAACTCTAGCCAAACGGATCCACCCATGTTCATGTGCCCTGCCAGCCCCACCTCTGGCGCATTGGGAGATAGGGCCCCAAACCGCCTGCCTGCTGAGAAATAGCCAGCTGAATGGACCTTCCCCCGTGTGCCTTTGGGTGTTCCAAAGGAAGTGAGTCATGGAGTAAAAGATTTCTCTTTTCAGAGACTGAGTTTCTTCTCATTAATTCTGATTCACAATAAAATCGTCATCTTGCACAACAGTCACACCTTGCCTCTCTCCCTGTCCCAGCCCTGTATTTGGCGTCAGCAGTTCCAGGATGGAGTCAGGAGATTGGGAGGGAACACTGAGGGCCCCAGGGGTAGAAAGCTCCCTCTCCCCTTGGGGAATGCCTCCCAAGACCTGCCTCAGCCATTTCCCTAGGATCCCCAGTCCCACTTACGGCAGGCGGGGCTGGTGCAGTACACTGACGGTACCCAGAGGTTGGAGGAACCTGTGTCGAAGATGACGGTGAAGTTCTGTGGTGGGGAGCCGATAGAGATGGTGCCAAAGTACTCCATCTGTGAGGAGGGAGGGCACATCACGTTGGGGATGGCTGCAGGGCCCCCGAGGTTGTGGGGAGCTCCCCAGGGCCAGGGCTTCGGGGAGTGTTAAGGCTGGGAAATAAAGGTACAAGGAGCAGGGAGAGGACTGTGAGAGCGATCAAATCAAGCTGCCAGCTGCCATACTTGGACTCTTCTTAGGTGACATTGATTGTCCGTGCTTTGCGGGCCAGGCAGGGGAGAGGTCTGCCTCTCCCACACCAGGGAACTGGGCTGACAGAATTCCAGCACTTTGCTGAGAGAGCAGAGCAAGGTCCTGCCCCTGCGGATGCTTTGTTGTGCTGACAGCCCTCCACCTGAGCACTCGGGGCCTTGGTTAGCCAGGTGCACAGGAACCTAGGAAATGAGCCGACATGCGTCACCCAGGCCAAGGAGTATGCGGTGGCTTCAGTGCTGCTGGGGTGTGGCTCTGGCTAGATCCTGAGCCTGAGCCCTCCTGCCCCCCCCAAACCAGGGGGCCTTACATCCAAGTAGTTGATGAGGGGCTCGTTGGTACTTGGCTCCACGGTGCAGGACTCGGTGTACTGGATCATGTCTAACTGATGGGATTTCCAGAACTCTGAGAGCTTGCCCTGGGCCCTCAGCTTCTTCCGAAGAGACTGCTGCCTTCTGAGAGGTACCCTGAGGATGAGATCAGTGTGAGGAGGGTGGCGGGGGGGGGTTGCCTCCCTCATCTCCCCCTCTCTCCAGCGCTGTTTCTCTGAGGGTAGCTAGCGTATGACACAAGAGGGTCCCATGAGTTCCCAGGCTTTGTCCTGAACCTCCCTGCTGCCATGGAAACTCCCAATCTCATAGTGGAGCAGCCTCTCCTTCTTGCAGACTGGCTTTCTGGAATCTTCTAGAGAGAGCTGGCCGGGAAGAACAGAGGAGCTCTCAAGGTAGTGCTGGTCAGGATCTTGGGAAAGGACTAGAATGTTGTAAGTGATGCCAGCAGCCACTGGTCCCTGTTCTGCGGCTGCACCAGATAGTGGTGCCGCCACTTGGAATAACCCTGCCATGCATCATGGAGAAAGGGCACCCACAGGGACTGACTCACAATGTCCTCAGTGTCCCCATCATCTGCTGGGACAGATGAACGCAATGTAGAAGGCATGGTCTCACCTGTGAAGGGGTCCTTGGGCTTGTCCCAGGTCAAGAAACAGCAGCAGTAAAAGCAGCAGCGCCTTCATGGTGGGTCGGGCTGGCAGCTTCCCCCTGGCTCTGCCGCAGGCTGGCTGGCCCCTTCCTTTCTCCTCTGGGGTGCACAGGGTGAAAGACCCAACTCTCCCTTACTCTGAGACAAGCCCTGCCCAGCCCCGTCTGAAGGCCCAATGATAAGGCTTTGGAGTCAATAGCCATGCCCAGGGTAAACACAGAGTATGGAACAGGCCGTGCCTTCCTCCTGCAAGGCGAATGTGTTTTTAGACCTGGCCAGGGTCCCTGCACCCTGAGACAGGGAGGGTGGCCCCAGGGACTGAGGCGCAGCACTCTGACCCCTGAAAATTGGGTCTCCAAGTGCTGAGAGTTACCCTTCCCTGAACTCAGGAACACCCACCCAACTTTGCACCAAGCTGGCACCATGAAGGCCCCTGTGGAATAATCTGAAAGTTTGTAACCAGAATTACCCCATGCGAGACAGAAGCTCTGGAATAGGAGATTTTGATTGTCTTAACCTGACCTCATGACATTGTGTGTGTGTGTGTGTGTGTGTGTGTGTGTGTGTGTGTGAGAGAGAGAGAGAGAGAGAGAGGCTACCATGGAGGGTTGGTGGGGGAGGGGTGTAAGCAGGAGCCTGTATGAGTGTACCAGGGCTGCCATCACCCAGGATGGCACACCAGACCAGGTAGCTGAAACAGTGGAAATCTGCTCATGGCTCTGGAGGTTGGAAGTGTCTGCCACATTGGCTGCTTCTGAGCCCCTGTCCTTGCGCGTCGATGGCCTTCTCTCTGTTGCTTCTCATGGTCCCCTAGCTGCTGCCGTGGGTATCTGTGTTCACACTTCCTTTTACAAGGACATCAGTCCTGTTGGATTTGGGCTCACCCATGAGACCCCCTGGGTGACACTTTCTATCTCTAACTGCAGTCACATTGTGAGGTACAGGGACTCAGGACTTCAGTACATGAGTTTAGGGGACACTGTCCACTCCATAACAATGTTGAGGGCCAGGAGGATGTCTTGTGTTCTTCGGGGGGCTGAGGACAAGGGTGGGGAGCAGGGAGGCTCAGAACTCAGTTGCTGCATCACCCAGTCCCACCTGGAGAGACCTCACTGCCTCAGATGGGGGGTGGGAAGGAGTTGGCTCTGACTCAGCTGATGGAAACCTCTGACTCAAAGGACCAAGGCCACCCATGCAGCTGTGGTTGCAGAGGGCACAACCTCTGAACCAGGGGTGTTGAATTCAGGTTTAGCTCTGCCCTGGTCAGCTAATGTCACCTCTGTGGGCTCCGCTTTCCATCTCCAAAGCCAAAAAACAAACCAAAGTGGAGCCTGGAGCTAAGCCAAACCCTCCTTTGGCTTCAGAAATGTTCAGACATCAAGACTTGAGTAACCACTCAGACCTTTGATTCCTGACCCCCAAGGCAACCAAGACTCACCCCAGGTCCCAGGAGCTCCTCTGTTTGATCTTTCCCTGTGGTGAGAGGTGCCCCCACCTCCACCACACACCCTCCCCCGACCTTGGCAGCTTGAGTTGGGAGTGGCTGGAAGTCGAGACAGTGCTTTTTAAAGCCCTATGCAACACCATCATTTTTGTCATCTGTCAAATGCTCTAAGAATGGCCATGAGTTTCCGGGCTGAAATACACAAAACGAGACAGGCAGAAGAACCTGAACTAGTACAAGGTGTCATATGGAGCACAGACTGTCCTGTTGGACAATCCTCGTGCTGGAAGGCTTCTTACAGACCTTCCAGGCAATTCCACTTCAACAGCAGATGAAAAAACTGAGGGACATAGAGAGAGGAATCTACCAGTGCAAGAGCTGTGGTCCATCTGGACGCAGAGGTAAGATTAGGCCCCGGGCCTCCTAACTCCCAGTGTGTGGAGCTTTCCACTGCACAGTCACAGCCTTGTTATCTCTGAACTGTTGAGGGGAGTTGAACTGTAGACCTCCACCCTTTACCAGCATCCAGACTGCTCCTCATGCCTCCCCCAGTTACCTCTGGGCACTGACTGTAGAGTTTGTCTGGGTCAGGTGGAAAAGACCAATGGAGGGGGCCTGTGCCTCTATGAGCCATCTGCCTGCCAGGCAGGAAGTGCAGGGTCTGCAGGATTTGGGGGAATTTAACCAAGTTCAGGAGCAGAGGGTGGGGATGTCTGTCCTCTTTGGAAATGCCAGGAGCCTGGTCACAAGTGACAGTCTCCTCTGAGGCAGCCATTGAAGAACATTTATGGACAACAAGAGAACACTTTATCTAGGGAACAAATGCCATGGTCATGTGTGTGATGGCTGGTGAGCTTTGGGGAAAGTGAGAGAGAAGGACACTTGGGACGCAATGACACTCTATGCTCTATGGGTGAAAGTGGTACATGGGCTGACCTAGTTTCTCAGCACTGAGAGAGGGTCTTTGAGGGGAGAAAGAGGCCCTCAAAAGTGTGTGTGACTTGGAGGCCAGTTGGGTGCAAACAATTTTGTCTGTTTCTAGAACATTACAAAGCATTGGTGGCAACACTATCTAATCAACATCTCTTTTCTGGAGCTTCAGTTCTTAGAAGGTAAATGGATATAAGAGGGGAGCTGTGGGGAAGCCTGCTTTATCAGGGTTGGCAGCTCTTAAGACAGGGTGCTACTGTCAGACAGGTGCCAGCTTCTGATGGCAGGGGAGCCAGGGTGCCGGATGCTCTTAGTCCTAGCTGAGTACCAACCTGACTGCTGGGTGAAGCTTGAAGCTGATGTATGAGGGAAGAGCCAACATACTGTGCAATACTGTAGACAGGATGGCTGGACCTGGTCTGATCTTGGACCCTTTGTCTGGGTCTACTTTGGGTGAAAATATCAAGAAACATTTTGGGGGCATAAGTTACACGCCAGACTGTTAGCTCACTCAGATCTCACATGGAGACCACCAGGCAGATATTTTAAACCTGTTTTACAGATGAGATAACTGAGGCAAAGAGGATTTAAGTAATTGATATTAGATGTTATTTTAATTTTTTAAAATTTTCATTGGAAAGGCAGATTTACAGAGAGAAGGATAGATAGAAAGATCTTTCATCCACTGGTTTACTCTGCAAATGGCTGCAACAGCCAGTCCTGAGCCAATCTGAAGCCAGGAGCCTCCTCCAGGTCTCCTTTGTGGGTGCAGGGGCCCAAGGACTTGGGCCAACCACTGCAGCCTTCTCAGGCCACCAGCAGGGAGCCAGATGGAACAGCTGGGACCCAAAGCAGTGGCTATATTGGATGCAAGCACTTACAGGCAGAGGATTAGTCAACTGCGCCACTGTGCCAGCCCTGGCCTTAGGCGCTTTGACCAGGTTTCAAACCAAGTGTGCCTAACGTTAAAGTCAATGTGTTTCACCATCTCACTGTGTTGGGTGATTCCAGGATCTCTCATTCTACCATTTCTTCCTAGAAGAGGGGTGTGTGTGTGTGTGTGTGTGCGCGCACGCGTGCGTGACAGACAGAGAGAGAGAGAGAGATGAATTTCCTGCATGGCGGAAAACTTGATTCTTTCTACTGTAAGAAAAGAAAGGTATGGGCTGGAACCATGGTTCAAATGGTTAATCCTTCCCCACCCACCCTCCCCTCCTCCCCCCCCCTCCGCCCCCGCAAGAGGCAGATCCCATCTGGGTGCCAGTTCATATTCTGTCTGCTCTGCTTCCCCCTCCAGCTCCCTGCCTGTGGTCTTGGGAAAGCAATAGAAGATGGCTCAAAGCCTTGGGACCCTGCACCTGTGTGAGAGACCTGGAAGAAACTCCTGGCTTTGGATAGGCTCAGCTCTGGCCAATGCAGCCATTGTGGAATACGCAAGCAGATAAATCTTTCTGTCTCTCCTCTCTGTAAATCTGCCTTTCTAATAAAAATAAATACATCTTAAAAAAAAAAAAGAAAGAAAGGGATGTGCAAGGTGGGGGTGGAGGTAGGTGCTGCCTGATGAGAATGTTCATGGCATAGGTTTTACAGATATTTTCCATTTTGCCCTCAACAAGCCTCTCAGCAAGGATTATTACTGTGTTGGTGACAGGTGCAAAATCCTCCCTCTCCCCACCCCAAGTACCCTTCTATTAACCTCTCTGTCCAGATGCTAAACTATGGAAAAGTGAAATTTTAAGAAGACCAAACCATTCGTTCATTGCTAAAAGCAAGCACTCATAAAGCGCCACTGGCTCCACCCACGTGGCTTGCTCTGCTTTGTAAACACCTCCTGTTCTCACGTAACTGACAAGAAAGCTCCAGGGTCTCTCCGCATCAAGAATTCAATTAGTAGGAGTCATTTCCAAAAACACCACTGATTCTCTTCTGGGAAAGTGCCTTTCAGACTAGAAATTGCTATACCCAGCTAGCGAAGTGTGCAGGCTTTGGGAAGACTTTTTACTTGAAACTGTAAGAAAGAGAGAGAGAGAGAGAGAGATGGAAAGAGAGAGAGAGAGAAATTAAGAGATTCTGCATCTATATAAGCAGGAAGAGTAGTCCACATTTTGGGTTTCCAGAGAGTAGAGCTGCACCCTCAGGGTACTGGGCCTAGTGGTTAAGGCACCCGTGTCCCACAACGGAGTGCTGAGTTCAGTACCCAGCTGCCCCTCATGGCTCTGGAGCCTGGTTGGCAGCGGTGCAGGCTCACGCAGTTGGGTCCATTCCATCCGTGTGGGAGAGCTGGACTGAGTTCTGGCCCTCAGTTTTCACTTGGTCCAGTATCAGCTGTTGTGGGCATTTTAGAAATGAACTCACAGATGGGGGCCTCTTTCTCTCTCTCACTCCTTCTCTCTGTAAATCTGTCTCTCAAATAAAAATAAATCTTTAAAAAGTGTAATAGCAAAGGAATGTGTTCAATGTCACCCCACCAGTACTAGTACCAGTCCAACCAGGCTCTAGCTTAGAAAGTTTGTGCAGAGAGCAGCCATCCGTATCTTATACGTGAGCCTGTAGATGTTCTTGTGTTACGAAGACTGAAGTGCAATCAGAGGTCATTCACCCTGGAGAGATCTTAGCTGTTCAGAACACTGATAAAGGCAGCGACGTGTTCCCACTTACACTCAGCCATCAGGTT